CTTTAAAAATGATCAAATAGGGGCTGACTGCTGGCATGGTGGTTAAGGGTACAGGACTCCCACATGACCAATCATGGTTCAAGTCCTGGACCTGGCAGCTTGCTTTCTCGCTTTCTCTCTCTCTCTCTTTCTCTCTCTCTGTCCTTCTCTGGTCAAATTAAAATAAATACATAAATAAATAAAATTAAATGGAATAATTTTTAAAAAAGGAAAAAAGAAAAATGATAAAATAGAGCCTAATTAATTCAAGAAGTATTAATAACCTAGCGGCTAAAAGTGGAGGACACTCGGGGGCTGGCTGTATGGCCTCTCTGAGTCTCAGGTCTTCAGGAGTTAATCACAGTAGAGCCTCCTGCATCACTGGACTAATCTAACCATCAGCACCTTTCCTGTTAGCGCCCAGGTTCTTGTAACCCCACCTTCCTTGCTGGGACTCAACTTCTTAGGGTGACCAGCATGGCTTGGGGACCTCATGGACCCCAGCAGCTTGGGGTAGCCCCAGGCTGAGGGTTTTCTGTGACTATCTTGTTTGGGTTTGGGTCTGTTTTTTGGGGGGGGGGGGGGTCCTTATGGTTTTCCATGGAGTTCTAGTTTAGAAGCCACAGCTTAGAAACCAGCGTGCGAGGGAGACTCTGAGGAAGCTGCTTTTGCAGAATGGGGTCTGGTGGAACAGGTGCCGGGGTGAGTTCCTGACCAGTTCTACACTGGGGGTTCCCTCCTGCGAGGTGGAGATGAGATGTCATCCCCCAGGCTTGCTGTCGGCCGGGCCGGTCGGTGCCACAGCGGGCTCGCTCTGAATGCACAAAGGCGGGCTGGGAGGAGGCTGTCCTTGGGTGTGCAGGCCTGGGAGATAAAGCTCAGCGAGGGAGGCAGTGAGTGGATCAGAGCCCAGGGCAGCTGCGATTAGGAGCCGCCAGAGCAGGTGGGCCAGCAGGCTTTGAGATTAAGCAGGGAGGACGCCCGCATTAGGAGGCCACCGTCTGTGGCTGGGAGGTGCTGCCTCCTTGGTTCCAGGGAAAAGGCGTTCAGGACTGCCCAGTTCCAAGAACCCAGGCTGCTGGAAACCCAGCCTGCGGTGAGTGACTGAGAGCTGGGTGGGGTGGCAGGAGCGTGGGGGACGGGCCTTAGGCGGAGGCAGGAAGGTGGAAGGAGGCGTGGCAACCGTCTTTGGTTTGCGCAAGGCCTAGGAGTTACCAGGGGCTGGGGAGCCCAGGCTGAGACAACGTGCAGGGCGAACCAGGACAGTGGCCGCCCTGGGTCGGAGGCGGGCCACCTGACCGTGGAGGCGGGCACTGGGTCATCGGTGGACAGTGCCAGGGGAGTCCGCTCTGCCCGGGGACCTGTCCTGCTCCTCCGTTGCTCCACCACAGGCTGTGAAGGGGCTGCCTCCCGCCTGCCCCAGGCCCCAGGGTGTTCGGTAAATGCTGTTGGATGAACTGTGAGGCTAGAGGCTGTCCCTTCTGTCCTCCCCTCTGGGGACAAATCGCTCAGATGGGAATGCTTGTACTCTGTCCCCTCTCCCCCACGCCCTTCCCCCCCCACACACACCACCTCCTGCACGGTCCTTCCAGCTCAGGGTCACCTGCCCTCTGCGAGTCCTCCCTTAACCACCCCTTTCAGCAGCTGCGTCCGTCCTGCCCTGCTGTGCCCTCTCCGAGCTGAACCTCACTGGTTCCCAGTTGGGCCGTTCTTCCGCGTTTTTCTTCCCCCTTCACCATGAGCTCCTCAAGCAGAGGGCTCCAGCTGGGTAGTCACTCCTGCTCGAGGCCCCCAGGGGCCCTGCGAAGGTGTCGAGAGGGAATGAAGAGAGCAGAGCATCCAGAGCAGAACACGCCTTCATTCATTCACCCCTCTCCGGGGGCCTCCTGGGTGCCAGGCCCTGCTCTAGGCAGTGGGCTGGACAGGAGTGATGGACAGGACTGGCAGGTCTTTGCTCTGATGGAACTTACATTCCAGAAGGAGCTGGAGCCCCTGGATTCTATCGGCCAACAAAGCAGTGAAGACACAGACACATACCGTGGAGACACAGAGCAGGCGTGTCCCAGAGCCTTGCCCAGAGCTGGCAGGCTATGGGCAGGGACGCTGCCCTTGGGGAGGGCATCGCCTAGGCCCAGCACGCATGGTGGCCTCCCTGTGGAGGAAGGAAGAG